AAAGGAATGTCCCTTAGAATGTCCTTAGGAACCAAGCCTGTGTCAGCTCTGGCTGACAGCCCATAACGTGTCTTCCTCTTGCCCTTCACCTAGAGTCTGGGGCGATGCTTAGGAGCCCCCTCTCTCCTCTTGCAACTCCAAGTGCTGTCTGTCAACATGTTCTGATCCCCCAGTGGCCCTTCATTGCTCCCTGTGTGGCAGGACTGCCCTGTGAGCCTCACGGTTATTCATGAACTTGGGCCTTCCACAGCTGAGAGCCCGGCAGCCTGAGAAAGCTTCCAGCGTTCCAGTGATGGGTTTCAAGAGGAAGCTGCCCTGGGACTTTCTCGGAGCCAAGAAACAAACAATTATTCAGCAAGACCATGTAACTTTTCACTTTCTCACAGAAGAATAACCTAGACACAGGCCATACAAAGAGGTATTTTAAGAAGACACCAAAAAAAAAAAAAGACATATCAAGAATATTTGCGAGTACTATTTATGGCTTTTAGAAGCTTTACCAAGTGATTAAAAATCTACTTTTATTAAAACTTCCTTAGTTTAAAATTAAATCTCCAGTTTAATGAATATATTAGTACACAATATAGTGTTTTAACACAACATTTTCTAAACAGCTAATACTCTTGATGATTTATAGAAAAATAATAATACTTTCATTAAATTAATTGTATCTTTGACCTCTGAATCATCCTATACCATTTTGTAAACATGTTAGAAATATTGAACATAGCCAGTAATTATGGTCATACCTGCAATCACAGCCTAAGGATGCTGAGGCAGGAGTATCCTCAGTTAGACTTGTTTGAGTGTGTGTGTGTGTGTGTGTGTGTGTGTGTGTGTGTGTGTGTGTGTACATGCTATAGTGAACGTGTGGAGGTCAAACTCATGGGGCCTGACAGTAGGCATCACCACTCACTGAGTTATGTCACTGGCCTAGGATCTTAAATTTGAATTCAGCCTATACTATATAGTGCGACCCTGTCTCAAAGGAAGGAAAGATGGAAGGAAGAAAGGAAGGAAGGAAGCAAGGAAGGAGGGAAGGAAAGGAGAGAAGAAGAAATAAGCTTAGCAAAAAAAGTGAAAAGGCAAGGATTGACCAATTAAATAGAGAAAATTCATGTTGATTACATATACAAATATGTACACAAAGGTGGTATGTGAATTGTGTCTAGTCACTAGAGAGATCGACACAGTTCATTAATGATTATAGAATGTACTTCTGCTTGAAGCTACTTTCCCAAAACATGGGTGATAAGAGTTTATAACAAATTGTTTGCTCTTTGATCCCTCCTCCCTGGTGATGCAGCCTTGCCAGGCCACAGAAGAAGATGATCCAGGCAGTCCTGCTGAGACTTAACAAGCTATGAGCAGATGGCAATAGTGGAGAACATCCCCCTTCAGTGGACTAGGGGAAGGGGATGGGGAAAGAGGGAGGGAGGGTGGGACTGGGGGAGTTGAGGGAGGAGGCTTCAATTGGGAATATATAATGAATAAATTATGAAGAAAAAATTAAAATTTAAATTTAAAAAAAACTTTATAACAAACAATGAAAGAAACTTTCTTCTTGTTTTTATTTTCCTTATGAGGTAAATACAAGTAAAAATAGAAATCTTAGAGACCATCCAAACAAAGAGAGACAAACAAAGGGGAAAATGAATCTAGATAATTTGCAAATTTTCATGTTCCAGTTGCTGCAACTTTAGATAATGGCTGGCCTTAACGGTTAGAAAACAAAGACATTTTGCAGTGTTTCAAATCCCAGTAGCATTTAATATGTATTACAATTGTAGATGCATCAGCCTCACATGCATAACACATAATTTAATCAGTGATTTGGAGCATTGGGGACCCCCTTGGAGTACGCTCAGATGAACCCTTCCCAAGCATTGTCCCCAGGGTGACAGCTGATACCTCACTCTGCATCCAGCAGTCTGCTTATGTCAGGACCGTAATGTCAGAGCTACGATGTCAGCTACAATGACGTCAGCTACTTGTTGCTTTCTGATAGATTCTGGGCAGGGCTGTTAGCCTACCACATGCTTAGCCAATTGTTATGTACAATGTCTACAGGGCTCTCTGCTTTCCTCCTTCCAGATGGATGATAAATACTCCCACATAAATATTATCCTCATCATTCGCTATCTTCCAAATCCTATTTTATTTACCATAGTGTTTTGAAATTGTTTTTCATTTGCCTCTATTATGCAGAACTCTCCATGAGGACAAAGATCCTGGTTAGCCTTGTTCACTGTTACAGATTTAGAACAGAGAACTACAGTGCCTGGTAGATGGCAGCCCCTTGGCAAATATTTGTTTAATAAATGAATTTATAGGAAAAGAACAGTCTTACAGAACTCTGTTCTTCTTTAGCTATGGTGAAATTAAAGAACTTGGAGATATAGGTCAAAAAAACAACAGAGTCAGTGATGGTTCTGGTGTGATGAGCGAGAGTAGATAAATGGGTAGAAGTGAGTAGATTCATTCATGAAAGAAAAGGCGCTTGGAGAGGAGAGAATGAGACCTGGTGAGGAATTTCCCAGAACTGCAGTTTTTAATGAAAAGCACAGAAAAGGATTTAAGTAATTGGGTGAATTAATTTCTGAATCTGCAGGAAGGAACAGCCTCTGAGAGAAGCAGGGTGATCAATTTGACTGTGGAAATTGAGTTCCAGTAGACTGGTGAAGAGAAGCCAGACTGCAGCAAACTTCACATATGAAGCAAACATGGCAGCAAGGGCAGAGAGAGGGAGCCCAAGTTCACCTACATGTCACCTGAACTTCAAGAAAACACCTGAACTGCTTGTGGAATAAATAGGTGTATAGATGGGTGGGTAGATAAAATTTTCTATTAGGAACAAAATGAGGAATAGATTATGGCTGAAGTCATAAGATTAAAATGCTAAACAAGCCATGTTTGAACAGTATAAACTCGATAAAAAGTACTTCCCTAATCAAATACAATTTCCTGAGTGGTTTTTCTCTTAGCATACATAGTTTATGATAACTCCGGTTTAGTGAGCGGTGTTTGGTTTGCCATTGTTTACTTTTGTCCGAGGTACATTCTTGTTTAATGGAGCCTTTTAGAAATTACCTTGAGGTAGTTTTGTTTGAGTGGGACCTGGAACTTGTTCTCTGGAACTGAGAGCCTTTGCTGTGCTTCATAGATCCCACTTGCCAATTATGCCAGAAGTAGCTTTGATGCATAAAGAAGTGTGTCCTTAGTTGAACTTCTAACAGTCTCACAAGGAAGGTAGCAGTGGGATAAGCATGGAGGAGCCTCCGCTCTGCCTTCTAGCAATAGAACCATCAAATAGTCATGCAAAATAATGTACTTTTAGGGGAGCTTAAACATAAAATTATAATTAACTTTCTTACAAATTAGACTGATTTGTGGTTCTCAAACTTAAACACACAGACAAGTCACCCAGAAAGCTATGACCACAGAAACTAGTTTCTGGTTCAATTTTACAGGGCCAGATAATTTGCTAGTGATGCTGAATGAAAAATCACAAGTAATGGGAACAGAGTCTGTCTCCGACATGAACTCAGTGGTCAGCTCTTTGATCACCTCCCCTGAGGGGGGAGCAGTCTGGCCAGGCCACAGAGGAAGACAATGCAGCCAGCCCTAATAAGACCTGATAGGCTAGGGTCAGATGGAAGAGGAGGAGGACCTCCCCTTTCAGTAGACTTGGAGAGGGGTAGGGGAGAAGATGAGAGAAGAAGTGTGGGATTGGGAAGGGGTAAGAGAGGGGGCTACAGCTGGAATACAAAGTGAATGAAGTATAATTTGTAAATAAATAAATACATTTTAAAAAATTAAAAAGAACCATAGGTTTAGGCAAAATGTAACATATATTTTCAAAACTTCTTTTCCTAGTTTTCTCTTTTTCCTCAAAGAAAATGATCCAAATTCTTTTTTTTTTTTTTTAACATTGGTTTATTCTAAGCTGGGAGTCTGCTGTTGTTTCAGATTTTTTTTTTAAGTCTTGTTTAGAGGTATGTCAAATAACCATGTCAAATCACATGTATTGATTCATTGTGTTGTTCTGTGACATCAAACCATTCCTTATTTTAAATAACAAGTGCTAACTTCTATTATTTTTATTAATTTATTCATTTTACATCCCATTCGTAGCCCCCTCATTCATTTCCTCTCAGTCCCATCCTCTCTCCCTCTTCCCCCTTATCCCCTCCTCTAGTCCTCAGAAAGGGGGAGCCTCCTCCCTTACCACCTGACCCAGTACCAAGTCTCTTAAGGACTGCCTTCACCCTCTTCCTCTGTGGCCTGGCAACTCAGCCTCACCTGGGGGCAGTGATCAAGAGCAGGCAACAGAGTTCATGTCAGAGACAGCCCCTGGTCCCCTTACTAGATGGCCTACGTGGAGACTGGGCTATTCTTATTGCAACAATTTTCCTCACAGTGATCAGTTTCTCATAACCAATGACTTAAAAATAAAAACATATGAAATTCTGTAAACAGTAATGGTATTGGGCAGTGCAACCCTTGGTTTTCCAGGCTTCTGCTCATTGTTAAGCTGAATGAAGATGCTGTACCTTATCAACAGATATTAGTGGCTCGGATGAAATCCTGCAAATCCAATATAGCTACCTAGCTCTAATGAGTACCTCTCTTTCAACTGTGAAATGCTTACCAATGAAACATGTTTCTCCATTAAATTCTCTTAAAATTTTCTACAAAAGGGAGGTGGAACTTATAAAGGGATGGGAAAGATCAACATTCACGTGTGAGGCAGATTAATGTTTTCCCATATTTAAATTTGTTTTCAAGCTAACAAAAGGGGGGGCATCTCGAAACAGAACCATCCAAAAGTAGACTGCGGTGCTTACACCGTGAATTTTACAATTGAATGATTCATCTTTCTTTGCTTAATAAATTGAAAGAGATTAGACAGGGGCTGGCATTGTAAGTGGGGCACAAGCTGACCTTGTGTAGAGCAGACAGCTGGCTCAGTGAGGCTCTGCGGAATTATCTCACCTGTTCTACTCTTCAAAAACTCCAAAGACATTAGTATCACGCTGGTCAAAGCATTCGTAGGAACAAAGTAATATCCTGAGAGGTATCTGCTGTAGGTTTTTGCTTGCGTTCCAGTTCTAAAAAGAAAGACTAAAGGTCAATTTAAGATAGTCCCAAGCTAGAGTGCAGGGAATCTTATGAAAGAAGTGAGAAATAGTAAGACCTGGTGAGGACAGGAGCTCTACAAGGAGAGCAACAGAACCAAAAATCTGGGCACAAGGATCTTTTCTGAGACAGATACTCTAACCAAGGACCATGCATGGAGATAACCTAGAACCCCTGCACAGATGTAGCCCATGGCAGTTCAGTGTCCAAGTGGGTTCCATAGTAATGGGGACAGGGACTGCCTCTGACATGAACTGATTGGCCTGCTATTTGGTCACCTCCCCCTGAGGGGGGAGCAGCCTTACCAGGACACAGAGGAAGACAATGCCACCAGTCCTGATGAGACTTGATAGGCTAGAGTCAGATGGAGGGGGAGGAAGACCTTCCCTATGAGTGGAGTGGGGAAGGGACATGGGAGTGGAAGAGGCAGGATGGGGAGGGAGGGATTAGGAGCGGTCCAGGGAAGGGGCTAGAGCTGGGAAACAAAGTGAATAAATTGTAATAAATAAAAAAGTGAAAAAAAACACTATTTCATTTATAGCTAATTTGTTCTTTTATCGCACATAAATAAACAAGCTTAACCAGATGAAAAAGGCATATTAAACACCACATAAAACGTAAATGATTTTTTTTTGTTTTGTTTTGTTTTTCAAGACAGGGTTTCTCTGTGTGTAGCCCTGGCTGTCCTGGAACTCGCTTTGTAGGCCAAGCTGTCCTCACAGAGACCCACATGCCTGCCTCTACCTCCCAAGTGCGGGATTAAAGGCGTGCACCACCACACCCGCTGATGAAAATTTATATGTTTTTATCCAAACACTTGTATGTAGGCTGACCATACCGTGCTGGGGTGCTGGCAAAAATCACATGTTCTACGTGAACTTGATCCCTATTGAAAGAAGTTCCAATCAACAACCAGCAAGTATCTACTGAACAGCATCTCGATTTGTCTGTCTTCCATGCACTTCCTATATGAAAATTCATAATAGTATTTGTTCATTTTCTGTAATGTTCATTAAGGCTTTTACTGGCTGGGTCAATCAAGCTAACCAATTCATGACTTAATGTTTTAAACTTCTCTCTCATTGTACTTCTCCGTGCACAAAATAGGTAGTCAAAAACTCTGCCAGCCAGCTTAATGTACACATCTTAAATCGCCACAGCCTCAAGCTTCTGCAAGGCATCATTTGATTCCCACAATGACCAAAAAAAAAAAAAAAAAGGAGATTAAAACCTCTGAAGTCAACATAGCACTTATTGAAGAAATCCAAAGCAGAGCCTGAGAATCTGACTTGAGAATTAATTGTTTAATGATACTACTTACTTTCACCATAAAATCATCAGCCACATGCTCTTTGATTACTGTTCTGTTCACTTTTTCACTGAAGAAGTTTGAAAGACTATGTAGGTGTTTGAACGATTACCGTCCACTCTCAAGAGCAGCAGCCTTCGAATGCTGGCAATGTATGAGTGGGGGACTGAAGTCAAAGCAAGCTCCCAGTTCTACCATCCTCACGATAACAGCGACTGGGAAGCGTTATCCTGACCTTATGATATTTGGGATGGAGAAGCCTAATGTAATCAATCAGCAGGTATCTCCTGAGTTCCATTGGTGAGCATCTGTACTTTGCATTTTTGGTACTTATCTCCCAAATTGATGGCACAGTGATCATCTAATTTTTTTCTGGACAGTTAGTTCCTCTGCCTCTCACCTTCATACACACACTGGAAGGGAGCCACCCTTTCCACTGGCTGGCCCGGCCAGAATGGATCAGCAACCACTGTGATTAGACTAGCAAAAGCTCATAGCAGTAAAGCCACAGAATGTCAACTATGGACTTTGGGACACTGGAAGGGAAGCACTCCCTCTTCTGAAGGGCATCATTTAGAACGTTCCTACCTGAAAAAAAAGAAAAAAAAAAGGAAGAAAAGAAAAGGAGAAAAAGGAAGGCAAGATGAAGAATGAGCAGAAGAAATAAAAAGAAAAGGACAGATAATATTCAACAGATGACAAATCTGGGGTCCTGATCTGGCCCTGTTCAGCCAGATCCACTCTTTACTACTTAAGTACGTGAGCTTTGTTTCTGTAACTTACAACCAAGAATACAGATAAATTATAAGTAATCTAAAATTTACATGACGTGAGGCAATGTGCCAAGAATATAAAAATATGGAGGAAATAATTCCTGCCTCCAAGAATCTTCTCAGGACTTAGTTAGAAAGATAAGAAATAAGTAAATGCAGAATAACTAGAAACATCTGACTGAGCCAAGTGGTAAGTTCTACAATAGCACAGAGAAGGGAGGCACCGCCACAGGCTGCACTTTAATCAAAGAGGAGAGATGAACTGGTTTCAGAACAATGACGTAGGATGTGGTTACCTGCCGGGGACATGAAAGAACATTTCTAAAAGGGTGAACTTGAGAACAAAAATTCAAAAATGTACTTAGCATATTTAGAAAAAACAGAAAGGCAATAAATGAATCATAAAATAGTAAATCATGTGCTACAAATAATAAATGCACTAGATAAGAAAAATGGATTATTATTTTTTTAATGATAGATGTATGGAAGGCTTTAAGTCTACTCTAGGCTGACATCATATCACTTGTGTTAGCTAAATGTTGAAATGATGTTGTGAAATCTAATGGCAAAATCCAAAACCTAAATGTGCCTTTCATAAAGTAGACAAAGCACTAGTCTATAGGAAACAGTTATTTTCTGTTCCATTATGGTATATTAAAAGTAAAGCATACCAGCCAGGCATGGTGCCACATGCTTGTAATGTGTAAAGCACTCAGAGAGGTGGAGGTAGGTGAATGTCTGTGAGTTTGAGGAGAGCCTGGTCTACAAAGCAAGTCCAGAACAGCCAAGGCTATACAGAGAAACCCTGTCTCAAAAAGAAAATTTAAAAATCAATAAATAAACCATATCACATCTATTTTAATCAGCACTTATTTGAGACACCAAACAATAGAGCCATGAATGAAGAGATCATCAGACAAGCAACACAAATCAAGGAAGTTATTGTGTGGACTAACAAACATGCTTTGTTCAAGTCTCTCCATGAGGTGAAAAGTTTCTAATAGAAACTCTTAATGGTATTTCCTATTTCCATTGTGTGGTTTTCCATTTCCCTCATGTTATTAAGAAACTGCCTGGAAAGAGTTTGGGTTGGCTCTTGCCACAGGTAGGAATGCAAATTTTCTTTAGCCCTTCTAGTTGTTTATCATAAAATGAACTGTTTACCTTTTTACAAGCTTATTGCAAAAATGCCATTGTCACTTTTGCAGCAAACACAAACTTTGCACTCTATTATTCTCTAAAAATTTCTACTTGTGATATATAACCCCTGTCTTCTGCTCAGTTTCCTGCTGCTTCTTGACCAAGCAGAAGCAGCTATTCTCCTATATTTTTCCCTCCCAATAAATCTCTTGTGTGAGGTTTGTTGTTCAGTGTGACTCTGTGGTCTTCCTTGGCTCCCAACTGCCAGGGTGCCTTTCCCTTCAGAGCTGTAACACCTGCACTGAGAAGCCTTTCCTCTCAGAACTGTAACACTGACAAATTCTATGTTCATTAAATGGTAGCACTGGGATATACTTAAGAATCTTTCAACATGTGGCTGAATAATAATCACTGCCGTATTTTAAACTATAGGAACCCCAAATTTATTGATATATACAATTATAAAATAAGTTTCAAGTTCAGTTTGCTTTAAATAAAAAAAAAATAGTAAAATTGCCTCCCATTTTCTCACACCTTATTATTATTATTTTTTTAATCATTGACTTGTACTCACCTACTCACTAGACTCCACTGATAGACAGGGTAAAGTTCATTCTCCCTAGTTTATTCTTTGACAGCTCTACATAATTTTGCATCAGTTCTTTATAGTGTCTCCTCATCCCAAATCTACTAACCAACCTTACGGCATCACTCCTCATTCTCTGGTCTTGGCTTCTGTTCTCTGCTTTCTTAATCACATATCTAAATTCTATCTATTTTAAGACTGAGTGGTTCAAGACCCTTCCCAGGACAGACCACATGAAATGATTTCACCATCAACACTGAGCCCTTTACATGGTTGACCTCTACCCCTCATGTAACATCTAGCCCTTAGGACTAAGGCTTCTTACATCCTTGGAGCTTAAACTCCCATCTTAAACCATTTGGAACTGAGCAGGTCCCCTGTAAGCTTCATTACTTGCACCACCGAGAACTTCTTGTTCAAAGTATGTTCTCAAATATTTATGGAGTGACTACAAATAGTTTCTAAATTCCAAGGTGGATATTCAGAATGTCAATTCTCCCAAACCAGTATTGACTGTATCAGCCTTGTGTGCTGCTCTGAATTTAACCACTCGATCCAGGAGCCATCAGTATATGCCAAGGACAGGTCTGGATTCCTGCTATTTTTTCCCCAGCTATTAAGAATGTTCATTTTTACTTTCAAAATCATCTTTCTCTGATTAGACAATCTCCCTTTTTTTTTTCCAAGACAGGGTTTCTGTGTGTAACCCTGGCTGTCCTGGGATCGCTTTGTAGACCAGGCTGGCCTTGAACTCACAGAGATCTGCCTGCCTCTTCCTCCCTGAGTGCTGGGATTAAAGGTATGCACCACCATGCCCAGCTTGATAACACTCTTTATAGATGTTCTGCTTTAAGATATTTTGGGATCCCTAGAGCGGATACTTAAATCTCATTCAGAAGGGCAAACAGGATAGATACCAGAAACAGTAGAAGAGAGGGAACAGGATGGGAGCCTGCTATAGAGGGTTCTCTGAAAGGCTCCACCCAACAGGGGATCGAAGCAGATGCTGAGACTCACAGCCAAACTTTGGGCAGAGCACAGTCTTATGGAAGGGGGGTGGAGGATAGAAGGACACGGAGGGGACAGGAGCCCCATAAGGAGACCAACAAATCTAAAAATCTGAGCCCAGGGGCTCCTGCCAAGGCAGATGCACAACTATGCATG